ATTAAGTTACAAGTATCAAAACTTCGCTTAACAGCGCGGTAAATCTGTCGATGAAAAACAAGATCAAAGTCGATCAAAGCACTACCCTTCGAATCCTCCCTGTGTCTCCCTCCTCTTTAAATACTCATTCGCTAATTCCTAAAATCACTCTATTCAATTTCCGAAAGGAAAATATACGTGCACAGAGAGAAAGCTGTTTATCAATTGTCTGTCGATATTTTCCTCGGTATATGTTGTAAAAAAATTCTTGTCTAGCTGTAAATCGGCTTCTAACGGACTGTAAAATACTCTCCGTGATAAAGCAGTCTTGTGGGGTGATCCAAGGCCAACGTTAAGGCAACGGCGTACGGTTAAATTATGTTTAACGCAGATTTGATCGATCGATTACAGGGTTTTCATGGTCTTGTCGATGTGTCTTAATGTCGTTTCGGGCACCGCGTCCGTCAGCGCCTTTCGGAATCCTTCGCAACGGGTCAGTCGCCGAAACATTCTTTTCGCGTAATTTCTGAAAATTTTTATTTCAATAATAAAAGTAAGACAGATAGGTGATTCAATGCGAGTTATAAAACATTCGGATTTCTCTCACTTCTTTGTAGATTATTGTAGGAAATCAATTTACCTCGCGTCCAGATTTCCATCCATTAACAACTTTGCGCCCGCATTTAGTAATTTGACCTTCACGTCACGTGGTAAGATCATAATGTGATCGGGTCCGATGCGATCAGTGATGTCTGACAACAATCGAGCGGTTGTCGCGCGAACAATAGCGTTTTGATGACTGCAATAGAATGATTGGAGAGTCAGCTTCGTTATATGGCTACTAAGTAATTTTCCGGCAGTTTTGAAATTTATTATTAAACTCACCTCGCTCCCCGAAGTACGACGATACCGATGGTTTTATGAGGCGGAAAATTCTGCATCATTTGATCCAAAGCCGCGTTGCTGTCCGCTCGCAGAAATCGATTCGTGTCGGCCGTTCTGTGCAGCAGAGGTCCAGCTATATCGTCCAGATCCTAAAAGAAATAAATTGTTTAATGAACATGTTTTAACTTATTACTCAATATTTATAAGTTTAATATTGGAGAGTATTGAAAAAATATTTACGTCAAGTATAAAATATTTAATACTGTTTTTACCTAAAATAACGTATGTTTAACGCTTACCTGATCGATACCTCGAATTTGAGAGCTAAAGATATCACCGGCAGCGAGACACGCGGCTCGCGCCACTTGCGAACGAAGGTTCTTTACGTGTCGTCCTAGGAGCCTGCCTATTGTTCCTGCTGCAAAGACGTCCAGGCACTCTGGTTGCTGCTTCGAAATCTGAGACAGGGCTTTCAAGCCTTTCATCGTTACTTCCCTGAAAAAATTAATTAAAAAAAAGACAGAATATATATTTCATATATCGGAATATGTGTCATACAGATAGATTTTATGTCGTAAAATCAATGAATACACTCTTACCAGTCTTTGTTCTCAAGCTGCGCGAAGCATTGTTGTACCATACGTTTCGACTTTTCCGTGGGCTTCTCCGCAGTTCTCTTTCTAGAAGGCGCTCGATAGTTAACGTCACGCACCGGTACTTTCGAGGGAAGTCTCCTACGCGACTCGATACTTTCCATGGATTGAGACTGCGCAAAAGGTTTATTATATTGTATAAATTATAAATAATATAGTTATTTTATAGAGGAAACATATACTCTTGTCGTGGCTTTACCTCGATCTTTAATATTCCTGGTTCCGTATTCGATTCGCTCGTGCTATCCTTACTTTGCCTGTCCTCCAAGGTGTCGTTCGCGCTAGACTCTTCTTCCGTAGACTGAAACAATTATTAATGTTTCAGTTAATTAGTCCCCCGATTAATCTTTCAATTGTGTTTTGGTCCATTGGTCGCGCTTCTCACCTCCTGAGTATTAATCTTATTGCGCAAGTTGTAGTCGGCGGCGTCGTGAGAATGCGGTCTAGACGCGATCATAATCGCCGGCGAATCACCGGTTATGTCTATGGGAGGGCGATCGACAGTATCCAACGATCGAACGGAAGCATCCTCGTCAGGTACCATGGAAGCAAGTATCTCCTCCTCGTTGAAATCCCTGGGATTCTCGATCTAATGTCGAAAAAATTAATATTAACAGCAGTTAAATTTAATATCAAGTTTAAGGAGATTCCGGAGTCTGTTTTACCGACTTCTTTTAAATAGACTTTACTTTTTTTGGCTGTGTAGAATAAAAAATCCTTTTCTGTAATTAAAGTACATATGCTACAGGGTGGACGGTCGATTTGAAAGGATTTTTCATACCACGCCAAAAAAAAAATTTTTATGAAAAATAGAAGGTAAAACAGATCAGTACTTGCACAGCCAAAAAAGGTAAAGTCTATTTAAAAGAAATCGGTAAAACAGGGATCCCCGACTCCGAAGACTCTGGGATCCTTTTAAGACAATTTAAAATCTCGTAGAACTCACGCAAATTTTAATTAGAAAGTTATTACTCGTGTGTGATAAAAACATAAAGTGATAATGTAATTTTATGTTTGCACATTCTTCTACAGTTTATTATTTTATATTCATCCATAATTTGTGTGACTTGACTGACCAAATCACGCGAATTGCAACGGGAATTCCGTTTCGACGGCGAGTTGAGGATCGGCGAGTGATGAGCGCTGTGATTAGGCGTCTGATACAGCGATTCCGATCTCTTCGAGCTCGACTGGATTGATTCCTCAGATATTTTTGGATTCTCGTAAGGTAGAATTCGCTCGTTTGGAATCACGGTTACGATGGATTTTCTTCTCGCGCTCGAACCTCTGTTCTCCGACCGCTCAGGAATATCGAAGCTACTCTCGGTGCTATTGTTGCTGTTTTCATCCACCGTAATTAATTCTCGATGATTCAAGTGCTGCGAAATCGATCTGATTCGACTTGTCGGTTTCACGTCATCCTCGCTGCTCCATTCCTTTGACGCCTCGTCCACGGTCGACGGATTCGTCGTTTCAATCGGGTACTCCGCTTTATTGGTATCTAGCGCCGTCTAAAATTGTTCAAGAAAATTGTTCGCATTATATAAGTTATTTAACATCGTTTAAAAACAATAAATATCCAGTGACTATTTTCTTTAGCTTGTATTTGTTTGAAAAAAAAAACGAAATCTTTTTTGTGAATTTTTCTACGAATGTATAATTTTCTAAAAAAAATTAGAAAAAGATAAATACCAGAATTTTTTTTAAAAAAGCTGGTTAAATAATCTTTCAATTAATTTCAAAAATCTACTTCAGCGGAATTCTACTTTGTCGTTTAATTACCGTGGCGTGTAATGTTGGAAAATAAAGTGTTGCGTCAAAAAATGACGGACTTCTGTTAAACTTTCGCTGAAGGAGTAACAACTCCAAATATGCGAAAAAATCTATTATTGAATTATTCTTCATCGGTGGTGGGCCACCCTGTGTGTGTAAAGATTGTGATTTGCAAGCCATTATTAATTAAGGAAACAGTTTGCCGCGCTGTCGGAAGAAAATTGACGAAAGCGATATCTTTTTATTCGCAGAAAAAAAGTTCTTACGAAAAAGGAGTCGTCGCGGACGGCACTCTGGCTCGTCTGTTGCGTGATGATGTCGAACGCCGGGTTGTCCCGGCTGCGCGGGGTCGACGATCCGCTGTCATTTTCGTTGTAATCCCGCAATACCGCATCCTGATTTTCCCCTCGTGCCTGTCGATCACTCCTAGAAGCGTTCGACGACGAGCTGCTCGCGCTCTTGGAACGTTCGTGCGCGGCGACTGAGAAGGAACGCAGAAATTCTAAGAATTCAACGTTCACAGGCATTTCAGAAACATTGTACTCGTATCGAATATTCAAAAATATTAAAAATAATCACTATTTAACTCTTTCATAGCGTTGTAACAAATTTATTTGGTAAGGAAAGATTAAAATGCTCGACGGTTTTCACGAAGAATGGATAATTCTCGTTGATAAAAATTGACTTGAAAATTTTGTAATTTGCAAAATAAGCAGATTATCGATCTGCCTTTTCGTACGATACAACGCGATTTGATCGTACTTTATACTTGACCAGCGGAATATTGATTACCGGCGCGTCAGCTCAGCCTAAGCTCTATATGCATGCACCACGACGAGGTGAAGAACCTTTCGCTCTATTTCACTGCATTCTCGGACGCGCGCGAGCCGAAAGCCTCATTTTAGTTTATTCAGCATCGCGTTATCATTTAGCATTCTCCGCCGAACGAAACCAGAATCCGAGTTTCTTTTCACGGTGATAAGCAATTGGAACGCGAAGTGCAAGCACATAAAGCCAAATGCTGCGCAAATCTGCACATTTATTATCAATAAAAAGTCAACGGCTTCGAGAAGTGTTAATTTGCTTTGCAATCGAAGATAGTAATTTGACTGGAAATTGAGATCAAAAATTGAAATCAAAATTTTTTCATCGTTTTGCGATGGCAAAATCGGCTTGTGAAAAAAGATAGAATCGCATACCTCGATAGCGCGATTCTTCCTTGTTCGAACTTTGCACGTGGTAGTTCCTCGCCTCGGGCGAGAAGTGACGTTTGTTCAGCACATTATACTCCTCCTCGTTCACCGTCGTTGCTTTATCGCTGCAAAAAAGTACGGAAATAGAAATCAACTCGGAAGTGCGGTCGCATGCGTATGCAACCAATTTGTATTGTACAACACATTAATGTTTCAATCACGGCGTACAGCCATATAAAGTAAGACTGACTTTTTACGCGAGCTTTAGTTTTGTGTTCATAAGTTGAATCGCGTTACTCCCGGAACCAGCGAATCAGCTGTAGGGGTTTTAAATAAAACAGCGCGAGTGTCACGGTTGACGAGAAAGGCTAACGTGTCCTTATACTTGAGCGAAGTTAAATTATAGAACGTCTCGCATCCCTCTCGTCTTAATCGATGGATTTTGTAAATCAAACTTACCATTCGTGACTTTTAACATTGATTATAATTTTTTACCGTCTATACAAGTCGCATTATCCTTCTACTTTTCAAATCTACCTTTCTTTCTGCTTTCTGAATGAAAATTTGACAAAGTCCTTTCGATACTACATAATTTGCAATATTATTTGTTTAAAATTTTTTGCAAATTATGCCGCCTGTCTCTCAAAAATCGCCAGAGAAACCGTCAATCCATGCAGGTCATGATAATCCGTGAAAAACATACACCGTGTCACTGTTTCGGCTCAATCTCAATGCGATGACCGGCGTCGTCGCCGTGGTGATGATGGTCGAGACGGAAGCGTTCTCGCCGTCCTCCTCGTCGTGATCGCGATCGACGCCGACCGATTTCCTGCACCGGAAGATGCACGGGCAGCAGCGGAGGACGACGTTCGCGATCTTACGCTCGGTGGCCCCGCTCGCCGATATTTCGCTCACGACGGCGCGGCTCTCCTCCTTCATCTCGCTCGGCCACGCGCAGGACTTAAAGATCATACTTTCGCAGCTTTCCTCACCGATTCCGGTACTCGAAAATTCTTTGTCGTAAAACGCGCCTCGTCAACGACAAATCGACAGTCCCCAAGTGCGACGTCATAATTAATTGCGATTTATCTGCGAGTCGCTGTTCTATGAATTCTCTTTCACGATGTGAAACATTCGTATTTATCTGTTCAAAATAATCCACTGGTCGCAGATTTTTAGAGATTAAAATGACTCGATCTCAGCAATCTGAGAATGATTTAAGATAATGATTTCGTTTAAAATAATCCATTCGTTCACCGAGTTTCGCGATCAAATTCGTGAATCTTTATAAATAGAAAAAAAAGATAATTTCCATTATTAGCGCGAGAGAAACTATCGATTAGGATGACTTGACGAATTCAATAATATTAAAATGATTAAAAATATAATTGATATTGGCGGTTTAGTGCAAGTCATTAATCAGCATTTAACCGCTTGAGAAAACTAAGGTTTTAAAAATCAAAGGTCACAACGAAAAAGAACTTCGTACATTAATTTATGATATTTTTCGCGCTTGATTTATGTTCTCTTTTTTTGGATACTGTTAATAATTGACTTTATTCAAAATTTCATGTATACTCCGCGATTAAGGCTTGATGATTAAATTATTCAGTTAATCGATAGATTAAATAACAATCAGGATGTCTTTTTTGTATGCACGAGCTTATTGACGTATATTCTATTTTTATTCGCTTCATCATTTGCGTAGTCTTTTTTCTTAACACATAGTTGCCCGCAACACTTTTCTAATTTTTTAACAATTTTTTTCGTATATAATAATTTTTAATAATTCACATTACGTGGCATAAATAATATTATATCGTGATGATACATCGCGCGGAAAAGGTTAAACGTGTAACTTCGCGAGCGATGGACAAGCCCCGACCTTTCGAAATATAATAGTTAGAACAGTGAAATAAGTGCGCGCAAGAAGGCTCCGAAGAATCAATCGATACTAATGACAATTTCAAACATTGGCGAACGGCCACCAACAAATTATCGCATTATGCGAATCGATGCGTCGGAATTACGCAGAGCGCGGGAGCTCCTGCTCGTGAAAGATCGAGCCACGGATTAATTATCGATCGGATGTCGCAGGAGCTCGTATTCCAAAGTTCTTAGAACGGATGTGACGTATTCTTTTTATCGGTCTTATCATTTTTGTCCATTTTATTACCAATTCTTTTTGCTAATCCACGTTTTTACAAGTCGAAGAAACTCGTTGCATATTTTACGTCACGTTTGAGCTTCTATATTTTAATTTCTTTATTTTATTTTTCTACTTATTGCACTTGTTCGCACAGCCTCAACATGCCGATTCGACAACATAAAATCGCTACGCTACACTCTCGCACGTTCGACTCACGCGATTATCCTACAATTGTCGCGTGCAGTCCGTCGAACCGGCGGCGATTCGATCGAGATTACGATGCTCATCGCGCTACCGTCACCGGGTGGCAACTTTTCAAGGGCGAGTCTTGCGTAATATACTACTCCGCGAATCCACCTGTCGCGATTCCACGCACTCGGCACACTCGGCAACGCGTCTCTCGTCATCGGATTTAAATGACAGCGGTCGACGACACTCGCGTACGGGCATAATTATTGAGCGATGCGACGCGAATGAATTCGAAAATTTTCCTCGTATATTTTTCCGCGACAAATTTTCTACGAAGAACGACGAGGGAGAAGCAACGTGCTCGTCGATGACGTAGCAGAGGCATAATTGCGCACATACGGGACACACACGCTCGCGAACAATCGACGACGTACGCACGACTGTGGCACGTAGCGTAGGCGCCGAGCGTCCCGACGCTGACCATTACCGCCGTTCCACCCCCACGTTGCCCGCGTCCACTCGCCCCCTCAGCTCCTCGCTCTCTACAGTCCTCTGTTGCTTTTTACACAAAAAGATAAGGAGGGCTGGGGATTTGAGAAAGCGAGGGGAAAACTACAATTTCGATTCTTTTTCCATAAAGCGAAATAAAATAGAATAAGAAATATAAAAATAGATATAAATGATTAAAAACCGAATACAAATATATACACGTGGAATAAAAAATAGGAAATTGAACATAAGAATATAATGGACGTGATTTGTGAAATTAGGTGTTCAATTTTTAATTTCCAGTTTTCAGGATTAAAAAATATATTGAGATTCTTGTAACTTTCATCTGTTTGTCTATTGAAGACATTCGCTCTGCTACTTCATTTCTTCACTCGAATGCATCACTTCTCCGAGCCCCCCTTTACGTTAAGGCGGGCTGACCATAACTCACCCTTCTCTACTCGAAGTGGTCACGAAAGAAGGGTTGCTAGACCGAGTCATGCGATCCGAGTGAAACGCGGTTAAAGAAGGTTGAGGTAGGTGCTAACCGCATTTGTCGCTTTCTTCTAAGCGTGATTTGTCTTGAAATTTAGCCCAGATCTTTTATAACTTTAGAGTTCTTGGTATTGAAATTACGTATTCAAATTTAATCTCATTGATCTGATTTTGAGGAAAGATTATCGCTCGCTCGTAATTAACATTCCGTTCGACGAAAATTGATTCTAATTGCCGGCACGCTAAGGCAAAGTTTCCAACTGTCTCATCATTTCGTCATATAATTTTTCCCACCAAAAAGCGATGCATCACTTCGAAAGAACCGATATGAGTCATAAACTGCATATGCGTTCCAAGAAATTTCCGTATCTTCGGCGATTTTCACTATGCGGGTAAAACTTTTATATATTAAAGATTTTGCTTTTATATAATAAATAAAAATTAATAATAATGTATTATAGATATACATTGGAATGACAAGAATTGAACGTTGAAAAGTTTAGTTTCATGTAGTAACTTATTGATATTCGCGATTTTGTAGCTAATATTCTAGGATGTAGGCAAGCATTGAATAGCGATCAGTAGCTGCGTGCCGGCTTAGACATAAAATATTCAGCGAGGAGGAACAGGCGATAGGCGCGGTAAGGCGTTTCGACAATCTACAATAGTCCCGCATGTTGTAACACGTTATGCATATAGCGTTACGCCCGTGTCCGTGTCGTTAATGCCTGTATGCCATCGAGCACTGGAAATTTCAAGTTGCATAATTTTTGCATGAAAGACGGAGAGATCGAAGTACACGCGTGCCTTCTTCCTTCGCGCGCGCGGCGAGAAATAACTTTTTTTTTTTCTTTTCTCTCCCTTTTTATTTTATCGATCGGTTAATTCGAACGGTTAAGATTGTCCGCTCGATGCAACACAATGGCATACTTTATGAGCCCTCGCCCGCGCGTTAAATATTAAGCCGGCAATTCTTGCGATCTTGATAGAAGAATAACGGAACGGAGTGGTGTTTTTTTATAAATTTAAGGCCGATCGGATTTATCGGTTTTTAAAATCGCCGGCATGCAACGCGATTTTCGTCGACCTGGAATCCGCGGTCTACCGTGTTATATCGGGGATTTGGATCTCGCTAAATATTAAGTGTATTAAAAATAATGTGTGTCACGTTGCGAGATCGAGATTAAGCGAAGTAGCGAGGTCGCGCACCTCACGTCGCGCTGGTGCGCTATTACACTCGCCTTTACCGCCTTCTTTTAACTTATCTCAAGCGTGTGTATAATATCTCTGCAATTAACGGTCTCTGATGGTCTCGTTTTTCTTTAATTGGCGAAATCATTGTAAGTCGCAGGAGTGGTCTTTTAGATACATTTGAGATTTGAAGCACGTTTGCGCTTTCGTCATTTGGCGTTTAAAGCGCGAATCTCGTGTGCCCGCCGATGTCTGGAGAAAGTTTACGCATATTATTTCACGTGATCGATACACCGGCATCTCGCTCGCGGTTATTTTAGGACAAAATCGATTCTGGCTGGAATCGCTTAAGCGCTTGAGAGAAAAAAATATCGGCCGGCTTGTAATAGCGTGCCGACAGCGATTTTATTTTCGAGAGCGTGTATTTAGATTTAAGTAGTAAAAGGACTCACATGTCGTACATCGACGCGGCGTGAAATCTGCTGGCGGCCAGCTTGACGAATTGCCTCGACCGATGAAGTTGCGACGGCGACAATGATCGTAGTCTCCTGCGATGAGGATCAGGCAAATTTTCCGCAAAAGGATCGCTGTTCTCCTGCGGATTCGATAAGATTAGATTCATCTCAGCCCTCTAATTTCAGCTATATATAATATTGTAATTAAAATAAGTCAATATTCATTTAAATTCTAAAATGCTGAATTTAAAAGACTTTAAATTGTTTATTAAAATCAAAGTTCTCCGATTATCAAATTCTTCGGTAACAATTTATTGTAGCAATCTTAATTAGGAAAAAAAGAACGGAATGATAAATTGATTTTTTACCCGATATATTATGTTTCTATCACTGTCTACAGCAGCTTGCGGATCCAAATGCTGTGATTCTTGATACACGCGAGACGGGGCAGTTCGTAAGGGTCGATATGCGTTTCTGTCAGTAAGCTTCCTCTGTCGCTCGTGAATGGAACTGTAGCTGTAGACGCGAAAATCAGTGAATAGGGAAAAAAATTTTTGCTGAGCAAAGAATGCTCAGTTTTTAGAGACTCACGTTTCGACAAGCGTTTGCTGCTGCATATTTCTGGACAATGATCGTTGCCGTCTCTCTGTGTAAGCCGAGCTCTCGCTTTTATCCGCGAATCTGCCGTAATTACACGAATTGTCATCCGAAAATATTCCCTCCCTGCTGCCGGTAACACCCTGTGCAGTTATAAAAATTATTACATATAATCGTAAACTTGTGCAATCGTTGTAGCTTGTGCAATCTTTTACATATAAATTTTTTACGGAGAAATTTTTATATTCAAAGAGGAGAAGAGTTATCATTTCTTTTACACAAAGCAACATCTAAAATAACTTTGAAGTAACTTTTATCGATTTTAAAATAACTTACGCTATATTCTCTATTTGTCGTTCCTGAAGCTTTTGTGTAAGAAGACGGACGGAAATTTCCGCAGTGTGAGTCAAACGTCTGATTCAAAATTTGGCTTTCTTCTTCGCGAAAACGTTTCCGTCGTTGATACGTAGAAGCGTACGATCTGTTTTAACGTAATAGTGTTAATTTAATTTGAAATAAACTGCATTTCTTCTGAAAAGGTGATAAGATCGCTGAATGATTAATAGAGAATACTCACCCGACATTATCCTGCCGCGAATTTATCCGGTTTCTATTGTTATCTAACGCATCTTTCGTCTGTTTTCGTGAAATAGAATCAAGGTATTCCAAATTGACGGACTTTCCACGATTTTGTGACGTTATTTTGGGACGCTCGCGTGTTGACAATATTGGAATTTTGGATTCTCCCTTAAGAGCAGTATTTTCCTGCAAATATATATTTTTCTCATTCTTATTTTATAGAAATATGAGCAAGATAAAATTTTTGAATTACTAAAAACTTATAATTTGTTATTTTGTATTGAGATTAGAGAACAAGAGTTTCCTGCCTTTTCTTTAGCAACTTCATTAACGTCTTTACGATTTCGCGTTTTCTGTTCGAAATTGTTGTTGGAGCTCTCTCGATGATTTTTAACATCCGTCTCGATGGAATTGAATTGATTTGGCGTATAAGATGTTCGCAGTTGCTCCTCGAATCTCAAATTGACGTTTGAAGATACGCCTGAAAAATCAAATCGTCCTTACAAGAGTTCACCAAACTTAATCAGATCCTTTGATTGAAGGGTTAATAAATAGAGCAATCTTATTACCCGCATTTACGTTTCGTCCGTTTGGTCCTTTTATTTCATTTTTATTGTCGACCTGTAACAAAAAAAAAGAATACTTACTTAAATACGACGTTGAGCTTGCACGAATCGCGCGATACCTCTAACCTTCGGTATTCCTGACAAACACGCGACGTTTAAACGCGACATAATCGTTACAAAATTCTATTCCAAAAAGAACAGGCGCTTATGTGCAAAAAATGTCAAATAGAAAATTGAAGTAACCTATTATCCTGAAAATATTTTGCGTTTCATGCCGCGATGCACCGTCGAGCTTGATCCAAAAACATGTGAGCGCTGCATGTCGGTGACATGTCGCGAAATATTAAACTCTAACCACTTTAGCAGTACCATATTTTTTAAGAAAGAAAGTTCTTTTATTATAGATTTTATACTCATGATCAAACTCGACGATCAATCTCTTGCATTAAATTATTGACGATGCGAATACAAATTGTAAAGAAAATAATATTATTAAATCACGCACGCAGATAATACCTTTCGTGTTTAATGCTCCTTATTCAATTCGCATTTGAAAGGAATAATTATGAAGGGACGCGGAGATATGCAAAATAAATATTCGAGAGAAAAAATGTATCATTATGTATCGCTACTTCCTACTTTGTTGTTGTATTTGATATATTTTGGCATTTGCATTGCAAAGTTGATGAATAATGACAATGACATCGAGAAAGAAACACACGGCAACACTATATTTAATGAGAAATCAATAGAGTACTTCATGTAAAATAACACCATTGCTAATGCTGAAAATCATTAATAACACATTAAATTTGCGTATTATAAAATCGTGTTATTGCATCTTTCTTTCATGTAAAGGAATCTATTTGTTTTCTCGTCAAAAATTGTCGATATTTTTTTCGAGGGAAAATTTAACGCCGCCCAGCAAATACAGAATATTGCAGTAACATTGCGGCAATGTTGCAACATTGTAGCAACATTGCAGCAATATTGCAACATTGCCACAATGTTGCTGCAATGTTCTGTGTTTGCTGGGCGAATTCATTAGAGAATCTATAGTCAAAGGAATATCCTCGAATTTTTGGATATTTTGAATAATCTTATAAGAGATAAAAGAGAAAAATATAAGACACATAATCTTACGTTGATCTGCGAGCGCAGTATCTGCCAAGCCGATTGCTCGGTTTTGGACTGCAAACCGACGCCAAGCGCGACGAGATTGGGTCTTTCTATCCACGGACTCTCGCAATTATTGATATCTTCGTTTCTGAAACAGATAATGCAAATATTTCAGCACTTGTGTGCACATGAATAAATGTTTTCGAGCTTACTCCGAAGTGTTCGCAAATAATTGTACGCGATATTTTTGTAAAATCTTACCTAGATGCTCTTCCCTGTGCCGATCTGGATGTAGCAATAATCTGACCTTTGGTGCGCCCGGTGCCAGGCGACACCGAACCGCTTCCGGCCACGATCCAATCAACGTCGGATCCTGTAAAAAGTAAATCTTTTTTAAAAATGAAAAAAAAATTGTAATTTTACGATAATAGCTGAGAATTTTGTTTTTTCACACATTCTACACTTGAAACAAGTAAATCTACGCGTTCACACTTTGGAAAAAGAAATGAAAGAGAGGTGAAATGCAATTAAAGAGAACAGACTTTATGATACATGTGCAGATAATCATGTAATATCAAACTTCGCGTTTTACACAGAAACGTCACGCGATATCGTGATCAAATGTGAGATTGTTTCAAATGTCTGTTCAAAATTCGCGAGTATTCGAAATTACACGTGATCTTCTACGTACACACAATTATAAAATAAATTAACATACTAACTACATACTTCGAGAGGCAACATTATATTTAATTTATACGATATTATTATACATTTCTACGAATTTTGGAAGACAACGTTTCTGTTTCGCTCGAAGATCTACTGATAACAATTCAATTATAATGAGATTTTATCTACGGGAGTGCGCTATGCTTTGCTCGCTTATTCCTGGTTGTTATTACCAGTAGCGATTTGAACAGTCGGTGAAATTTGCAAACCGTATACCACGAGACCATCGGCCGACACCATCGGTAGGGATTTCCTTGCCAAGCGTGCTCTGATCGCGGCCAGCATCGCTTCAGCGTCGGCATATCCTTCAGCCGCTTGTTTTCCCGCCTCCAAAACTTCCTGCAAAGTTTTAACAAACCGCATTAATTTAAGTTCTTCAAAATACTAGATCTTAAAATAAAAATCTGACGACAGCTGAAGCAACTTAGCATTGCGCGAAAAGATAATCCATCTAAGAAAAGTTTCCTGGCACAGCATATTTGATATATTTTGTAATTACGTAATTAATAATAACAAAAATAATTGATGATTGAAAATTTCATAGCTTTTACATCGAATAGCACAGATGAGAAAATTCTCTTTCTTGTAGCACATTAATATCTAAAAAGATAGATAAACGGATTTTGATGTCGATATAAAAAGTATTTTCTTAGAAATTAGCCCTGGAAGTCCTATTTCGTAAGCTGCCTCGCTCGATGAAGTCATGGGAAATTTTACAAGCTTATCGCTTTCTCGGCAGTACCTCGGGGTCGTAGATCTGTCCTAGAACAGCCATCGTATCGAGGGCGGCTTGACGCACTCTGCGTCGCCGATCAGCGACCATCGTCGCCACTCGGCTGGCTACAGCCTCCAGCTTGAACTCCGTGCTCGGGAACGTCACTAACGAGAAGATCAGCAGCTGCAGCGCGTTCTCTCTCGTCTGCGAAAGAGAATCGCATTCAGTCCATTTATTTACGCGGAGAAAATATAAAATTCATGGCAGATCGCGTCACGAGAAATCGCTGAAAACTCGAATGCGTTTAATCACCTTGGCGTTCCTGGCGCTCAAACAATGCGGTTGCAACAGCTGCTCCAGGAGCAGACTCGGCTTGAGTCTGAGCATCGCGATCCTGGCGAGCTGCGCCGCAGCTGGACCACCCTGTCTGGCGAGGCCCCAAGCCAGCTGAGGCAGCTTCTTCTTCAACGCATCCTCCGAAACGCCGGCGATGGCCACCTGAAGTACGCGGTGTACATTACACAACAAACCTTTGAGAACACGTGTGTGAGGCGCGATTCTAGAGTAGCTACGACGCTATCTATAGTGCGTCGTAAGCCTTTGGCATTATAAAAAAACATCGCAGAATGTATTTTCTCTTTCCGTCGCGTTAAAACTGTCTTCTATCGTAACGCGCGGTGTAGAATAATACGTGTCCTTGCAACTTGTGCTTAAATCTGTAACTCTCGGGTAAACGCTTCTGAAGTTAGACACGGATACCGGTAGTACATAAATTCCGTTTGAAAAATTCACATTGTTAAAGAGAATTGAAAAACTTTCAACTAATTTTAGAACACGGAATAATACAATCTTGCGAATTTTAATTAACTGTGAAAAATAATTTTCAAATATTAAAAGTAATATTGAACAATGTTGCGCGTGGCTCTTGTTACACATTCTAATAATAGACACTTCCCCGTTTATCGCGATGTATATTGTATAATAATAAGCTTGAGAGTGTTATCGGTTAGCGGCTGGCGATAAATTAGCCGAGATTTCGGTGCGTTTGAGGCAATCTTGCGAGACCTAACTTTAGCTGATTTTCAAATCATTTTTAACTATTGAAAAGCAATATTAAAACATGGTGGAATCCTAATCCTTGATTAGAAAGTCCTAATGATAGATACCTTTCCGTTTACCGCGAGATATATTGCATAATAACAAGGCTGGGTGTTATCGGTCCGCTCTCGGCGATAAATTAGCCGAGATTTCGGCGCGTTTAAGGCGATTCTGCGCGAAAAGTTACGAGCTTACCTTCGCCACCGCTAATCCGGCGGCGGCCACTCGGCAGCTCCTTTCGCCGCCGAGCACCGCATGCAAAAGCGATCCTAATCGCGACTCTATCGCGATCAGCGCCGAGGACGTTCGCAGGGCTGATGCGACTCTTTCCAAGCCTCTCACGCGCGCCCGCCAATCGTCCTGAAAAGTGACAAACGAATGAACGATAAGAGAATCACAGAATCCTCGCGACACGGCGTTGCATATCGCAATTGTCATAGTTTCTTTCTCTCAACATTTTGCACTACAGTTTCATTGTCGAATATTCAAAGGAATTGTATCTTCGCGCGGCGCGCCATGCAACGTTGTTCGAAGAAATTCAAGTTATGCAGCTCTGATTTATGCCATATTCTTTCTCACCTCGCGTGCGCACGCAAATCGTCTCGAATAATTACACATGATAAGAATAAGCCGCATTTATATCAGATTCGTCCTCGCATTAACTACTCACTTACTTGAGCATTTAATCGCCGAAGCGCTACTTTAATGCGTCATTTGTCCGTAATTATGTGTATATTGATTTTTGTAGATATTATTTGAATCCGCTATTGCCTCACGTCTCCTTGTTTCGTAAGTGAAATTAAGATTTTTTACACGGTAGATTCGATTGCGAACGAGTGTCGCTAGAATTTCGCGAGTCGACATTATTGATCGTCGCAGCCGAGACCGAATGCAATGCACCGGCGGTGCATCTGCATTCTCACCGTGTATTTCTATCGAGCTCTTATAACCGCGGAGAATCGATACGGGAACCTCGCATTTTTTAATATTCTCTAACACGTATCGGACGCCTCTTTTGAACTATGAAATAAACAACCGATATCTTAATCGGCGGGCTCGACTCATCGCACTCTGTATTTCCACGCGAACTTTTATTATCTCAAAACAGTATTAGTAGTTGTTTCATTTTTATTACACGTTATAATTAATTTTAATTACAACACAATAACTTCAGTTTCGCCTTCCTCGTTTTGTGCGACTTTAGCAATATTTTCTACGCTTTATTTATCATTACGTTCACTTTTTCCAGTGAATTTCATTATAATAAGTATAATTAATGAAATTCTAAAGTCCTAAAGTCCCTAAAATCAATTCGCCGCGGAGGAGCGAACGATCGATCTCACGGGACGCATTTATCCGCTACACCTACTTACGCCGTGATGAATCAGAGAACAATTTGAAAATTACACTCGAGCCACGACGAGATGGTAAACGACGGTACAATTGCCGGCGATTTGCATATACACGGAGGGAATGACGCTTTCCTGGACCCGAGCAACGACGTGGCACGCAACACGTGCCTAATTATTTTCTTGCGGCTTACCGCCCGCGTTTCCCCCTTCTTATGCATCGTGCATTATAAGGAGCGCGATATAACGATCCGCGGGGGAAATCTCCTGTCGTTTTTCACCCACGCGAATATTCATACGGGCTTATATTCTGACGAATCGTTCCTCGCGGCACGGCCAAGTGTTACGTGGACTTTATTCCGCGCGTTGTAAAAAGGCGAACGTAATAATTCGACACAGCGCACTTCCCGTTGTTTACTCCATCTTTTTCGTAAATCAATTTGGAAAAAAAAAGGGAGAAAACTATGTTCGAAGTTTCCACGTCGAAAAAATATTACTACGCAATTTACATTCTCCGACATTATCCGGAATTAGCGCGGATCAATTATGCGGCGTGACACGATACGGCGATAGAAAAACGTCGGAGTAGAGATATATGTTTCCTGCGATTTTTGCGGCGAGCAACGTCTCGCGGACGAATTGATCGTATGCGGCACATCGGCATTTTTCACAGACTTTCTCTTTAGCATAGACGCGCCTCGGCGCGAGGTCGCACGTGCATTCATAAAAAGGTCTAGTGCAGCAACCTTGAGGTCACTTGCTGAATGAACATAAGGCGCGCACCTGTGACAAAAGCGATCGTTGCCGAAAGCATTAGCCGTGCATACATCAATAATGCGATCATGTTTTTTTTCAGATTTCACAACGATTAATCTCGGTGTCATTAGAAAATGTTAATTTCAAAATTTATTCCTCCGCGGCGGTAAACTTTTTTTCTTACATATTGCTGATCGATTTTATTTGTCAGGCTACCATGCCGGTTCGAGGTTTTTATCGAATGACCGTTTGAACAGCTGAGCTAACGGAATTAGTATGCGGAGAACGATCTGGGCTTCTTCAGCCGTGACATTCTCCACGCAGACTTCAGGAGTGGACTTGCTCGCTAGACGTCAAATCGATTTACTTGTCGTTCTTACCTTGTTAGAATCAATTAAAGTAGCATGAAATTTATAGTTTATTGTGCAGCGTGAATATTCCACTTCTCTACACATTTTGGCGAGAGATTCTTTGACCAAAAAATGATTAAATAAATTAACTAAAGAATCTGCGAGAAGCAACATCCTGTTTGACAAGTCTTCAATAGCATCAATTTAATATTAGAAATTATGAGACGTTTGTTAATTTAATATTATTATATAATCACATCACATTATTACGTGAGTAAGCGATGAAATTAAACGACAGAATTATATATCTGCGAGTTCTGATTAATTGAAATTCGTAATTGAAAACAATAATGACATGTTTGTGTCATTTTCGTGCAAAGGCGTTTGATATCAATAATTGCTCAGGGCTGGCGATACTCTGAATCCATCACTGTCGCAATCGGCGCACGAAACCGGTCAGTCGACGCCTCGGCAGAAGGCAGACAGAATCTTTCCTCGCGAGTTTAGAAAAGTCGTCAGACAATTGTAGTGTAACAAGCGGAAAATACGCAGAGCAAAATATATTCGCATATTGCCATTCTAATTATGATACGGCAACGTGCGGTCTTACGGCTATTGCAAACCGCCATCTGCATCTCAGTTATCTTTTTCACGCTAAAACTGTTTCTCGTTGTTATCGGCGATGAGAGTAAACCGCTTCCCGCTGCCGATGAATTAAGGAAATTGTTGGTGAGTTCTAATACATTGTAAATGATAAATATTGGTAAAAAAAATAGCACATGATTCCGATAACTTTGGTCGACAATTGCTTTTAACTTTGCTATCTTTTTGCAGAAAACGTGTGTGACAAACTGAACAATATCGAAATAATAATATTAAATTAATTAATTATAATCTTTTTTGTCAATAATTCGACTTGTTGAACAAAAGTTGCAGCGACCTTTAGAGTTTTTATTATCACTTTGAAACTTTTAAGAAATATCTTTAAATCACGTTGTTAAAATTGTTGAAATTTCCTCTAAAAAAATTCAAATATATAACTCAACAATCAGAAAATATATAAATTCGAAATTTCAAGAAAATCGAATAATCTTGAATTTTTTATTTAAGATCGAGGCCGAGGCGGACAATACGCGGCGATTTCTCAATGTCGATAGAGTATGCAAGAAGTACAATTTAGGCTTTTATCGAAAACTCGTCGAAGACTCGCCGTTCAAGCATCCGCCTACGCCGCAATATAGCGCTTTTTACATGGTCAGGTTTGTAAAGATCACGCCTTAACGCGATCCACAGAAAATTCAGTCAAGGCTCTTCATCGTTGAGACGACAATTTTTTGTTTTGTTTTGCGCAGAATGTACAATATATCATATTGCCCGGTGTATAAAGCCGGCACCACAACATGGCTCTATAATTTGTGCTTATTGATGAACGTGTCCGAGGAGACGCTGAATAACGGCAAGGAACAACTGTCGACTATCGCGAGACGAGTGATACCGGAACTCGAGTATCCCGAGGCCGATCGCGTTCTGAACGCGAGCAAAAGGCTGCTGGTGGTGCGACATCCGTTCGAAAGGCTGCTAAGCGCCTATCGCGATAAATTAGAGAACTCTGTGGCTGGCTGGGAACACGGAACGCTCCACTTTTACCGGAAGTACGGGGCCAAGATCGTTCGGAAGTATCGAGGTAAGTCGCAGAAGAGACGTCGATCGCGATATAATTTTCCAAGCGCATAATCCAAGCTCATAAAATAATACATATTTCTTACAATTGAACCGTCGAAGCTTAATAATTTGCCATGTCTAAAAACGATCGACGGATTGACGACTGAAACAAATTTACGCAGGTGTGATTTGAGATTGATTTTTGGTAGAGCATTTGACTCTCAGTTGCTGCAAACGTTAGTTAAAATTAATTTATGTTATAAGTATTAATTAATTCAGCGCTAAACTTGATGAAATATGCATGAAGAATTTGGTGAATTTTTAGTGAAAAATTTCACGAAGCCGGGACCGGATCAGGTGATTCTGCGCGAAGGCGCACCGCCACCGGCCGGCGTGGAACCGACCTTCCGCGAGTTCGTAAATTACGTGATCGACACTGACCTCGGCAGTTACGGCGACGATCACTGGATGCCGTATTATCTCTTTTGCACGCCGTGCCTCGTCAAGTACGACGTTATCGCGAAAGTGCGTACCCGTATGCGAAACCTGCATACGTCATTTCTTGCTATTTTAAGAGTTACTTTTTATTCTCGTAATCATTTCGTTTAATCGATCGTTTACAAGCAATACGAATGTGACGAAATACGCCTTAATTAATTTTGCAGGTGGAATCGCTGTGGCGTGATCAACTGTACGCGATTAACAAGTTGGGATTGCAAAACAAGATCAAGCCCAGATGGAGGCATAGTAACAGTTACGCCAATGCTTCCAGGATATACTTCAGTCAATTGAACAGACCGACGGTGCAGAAGTTGTACGAGAAGCTAAGACTGGACTTTGAACTTTTCGATTATTCGCCCGAGATTTACTACGAATACGCCACGTCTGTCAATTAAGTGAGGCTGATTAAGCTTGAAGCTAACGACTTCTTTCTGCACGAAGTAGCACGTCGTGGCAACGATCTTCCGGGTATAATTTTGATAATTTTGATAACACAGTGCCTCGAGTGTCGATGCGAAACATCGATGGAACGCTGAGCGCTCTCTTGGTGAGAATAAATGAATGTGTGTGAGAATAAAAAAAAGAAAAAAATAAGAAGGCAAAGAGAGAGAAAGAGAGAGAGATAAAGAGAGAAATATTAAGCTTGTACATGCGGGCGCGCGCACACACGTAATCCCGATAATTGATGGAGCTTAAATCGCGTTACGTCACGCGACGAACTTTTGTCGACGAAAATCGATCGACCTACTTTTCATCGTATCCCCTGATGTATCGGCGCGGGCGACCTGTCCTAAAGTCAAGGGTCCCCCCCCCCCCCTCCAATCCGGAATGGACGTGGCGTTAATCGTCACGAAATCGAAAACGCGAGAAGCAGGACGTTTACCCTGCTTAACATGCGGCAAGAAATAATCGCGAGTGTGTTTTTGCCCCGCATTTCCACGGGAAACGGAAAGAAAAGGACGCACGCATACATACATTTCTTCAAAAAAATACTCGGATACACCCGACCTTTTCCAACTGTGATATATCGATGTTGGATTCGATGTAGAACTTCTACCGATACTGATGCAACCGGTTCGCCGGTTTATTGGCTCGAATTAATTTACACGAATAAATCAATATTCACCGCGATTGACTATCTTTTCATTTCAATGCTATCAGCATGGATCTAATGTAATATATTCAATTTATATCGTTCGGGTGGGCCTTATAAGTGCTTTTAAATACATTTCTTAGGATTGATTTAGATCTGTCAGATCTTAAACGACACAAGAGAATCGAAGCTCGGCAAGTATCTCGTTCTCGCTTCGCGAGCGCGCTTACCTTGTTGTGCAGATCGTCCAACACCTCTTGACCGACCAACCCCAATTCCTCCCAGTTGGGCTCCTGCGGCTTGCCCTCGCCCTCGCTGCTGCTGCAGGTGACACTTCCGTTTCCCTCCGACGCGCCTTTCCGGTCGCGTTTACCCTGCCCCTTTCGCCCCTCGCTGCCGTCCCTGGCGGAAGCCTCACCGTCGCCGTATTTCGCACTAATTGCCGCGCGACTGTCCGCAGTCGGGCCAAAAGCGCGGTTCTCTTCGTCATCGTTGACGAGGTCGCCGCCGACCAGGCGATCTATTCGCGCCTCACGATTGTCGTTGACCGGCGATCCGAACGGAAAGCTGTCGGGAAATTTTTCCAACGGCTTTCGCTCGTTCGAGCATTCCTTTCCCGACTCCTCTCTGTCTTCCTTCCGCGCCTTTCGATCCGGACTTGACACTTTCGGCGCGTGATTCTTCTCCTGCCTCGCGGAAGTCTCGCCGCTTTTGCTCAAGTTAGTCGCCTCTTTTTTAAACATTCGCTCTTCTCCCGAGACTTCCGTCACGGCTTGAATCAATTTCGACGAGTCGTTTTCCCCGTTCGCGTTATTTTCATTACTTTCCAACTTCTTGTTGTTCACTTGAAGCAGCGCGACGTGCTCCTTCCTCGATACTTCGTTAACTTCTCGCGCGCCGTTGATCGCGCGAACACTTGCCACAGGCGTTTCGTCGCCTCTTCCGTCTTTCCTCGCCTCTTCCGTCGCGGAATTGATAATGATGACGGGACTGCCGGTCCTCGTCAGGATGCTCTTCTTGGGACTCAGTTGCGCGTTGTGCGTGTATTCTCTCTTCGGGCTGCTCGACGCCGACCTGGAAGCCCTCCTCGAGCCGCGCTTCTCCGCGTGCGGGCTGCACGGCTGCGACGACGGTCGCCTCCGCGGCGTGCCTTCCGGCATCCTCGTGGCCGGCGATACCGGAAGCGGAATCCTCGTCTTGGGCGCCGTCACGTCGATCGATTCCGTCTCGTCGCTGTCGGGCGTCCTCAGCTTGACGATCTCGCCGCCGAAGTGCACTCGTCTAGGCGTCTTCCGTTTGTCCGCGGACGACAGCGGGCCCTCCACGCCGACATTGCCGTTTCTCACATCCCGCCGTTCACTGCTGCCCTCGTTGTCGTTTTCGTCCTTCTCTTCCAGGATCGTCATTGTGATGGCCGTTTCTTCGTTGAATTTGATCTCCGTCTCGAGGACGACTCGCCCGGGCGGTATCGCGCCACCGCCGGCGCTCGGCGCCTCGTCCTCCTCCTCGGCGATGCCGGAAGTGTCGCTGTCGCTGTCCCAGGATTTGTCGACGGTGCGCTCCTTTGCTTCGGCGGTCTTCATGATGTCCTGAGCGCCGCGATTCTCGCCGCGCTTCCTCCTGGCTGGCTTGATATTGTAGATTTTTGAGAGGACATTGATGTTCCTCTTCAGCTTGTCGTCGTAGTCTGCCAAGTAGCTCTCGAACTCCTCGTCGCCGACCGCGTCGCGGATCTTCATCAAGGACTTGAGAACGGCCTCCTGATGCGGCACCTGGACCAATCGCGCGGCAAAGGCGATTGTGGCGTCCTTGAGGATCTGTGCTGTCGGCGGCGGGCTGTCGGAGGACGGGAAGAGTAGCAGCGGCGCACTCAGGATTACGCCCGTTGTCACATTCGTCTGAAACGGATTGTGGGCGTCCGGGCGATTCAAGCCGTCGTGAAGAATCTGGAAACGAGCGCGATCCTTGATAGCGTATCATAACTTTCGCAACAATTTACGCCCACGGAAAAAATCCAGAAGCGTCGTGTATTTCGATTTGTATGCAAAAACGTTGCGATAGGAATTTATAGACAAGGAAAAATTTTCGTCGTAATATTGCTTGTCGGGAAAAATCTCTTGGCAAATATATTTCTTTTATCGAAGTAATAAGATATTTGCCTACTGAAGATTTAGATTGAATTTTCTCATACAACACAGAATATTGCAGCAACATTGCGGCAATATTGCAATGTTCTTGCAATGTTGCTGGAATGTTGCAATATTGCCGCAATGTTGCTGCAATATTCTGTGCTGTATGGGTTCTATATTAAAAATTTCTATGCTTTAAGTATCATTGAGTCTCCCAACTTCCAAGATTTCAGATAAAAGTTCAGATTTAATTGAAGATTGAGGGGAGAATTTCAAGGAGGCGCATTGCGGACACTTACGTTTTTGACCATGCCGTCTCTGTTGGGACTGTGAACGAGGTACACCCGCAGCGTGTCCAAGGCGCCCTTACGAACCGCCGGCGCTGGATGGCCCAAATTATTGATCAGTTCCGGCACCACCGGTTGCATGACCTTGTCAACGACATCGGCGTTCAGCGTTGGCAATACATCCATAAGCACCCGCAGAGCGTGTTGGCGCACCTCCCATTCCGGGTCGCGAAGTCTCTCGGAGATTTCGACGAAGGTGGCTTGCGTATCGACCTCGGACGGAAACTTGCGCGTACGCACCTGCGAGACACATTGAATGTACATTGGAATAAAAAAATTAATAGAATTAAAATCTATAAGAGAGCGGAAAAGTTTCCGCTGCAGTAAAGTCGCGAATAATGAAAGCCTTTGCGGATCACGCAGATTAGAAATCTCTTTATCGGATTCAGTGTAATTGAATTAATTTAATTTAATAAACAGTGCAGCGCACAAGCGCGCGGTTCTACACGAGGTTGCATTTAATCGGGAATTAAACTCGTCTGGCCAAAAATTGGTAAAGCAAAATACAATAGATATTTCATTTTCGCAATTTTGGCCGTACCACGTGCTCCCAGAGAGGAGTCAGCTGTATCGTCTGGCCGGACGGCGGGGCGGACGTCATCCTGCGTCGCGGCTGATGCCGATGACGGCCGCCTCGCCGTGCGCCATCGTCCTCCGACGCTGGCCTGAGGTCGAAGGTCGACGACGGTCTAGGGATGGCGGGAAGCGGCACGGGATCTTCCTGGGGCTGCAGCGGCCCCGCATCTGTCGATCCTGTCATAGATGACGACAAGCAGCCGGACATATCCCCCTACGTCTCGTCCCGCGGGAACCATCGGTTATCCCTCATGATCTCCCGCGATTGCGAGGATTCCGATCCCTGATCGCTCATCAATGATTCCAACGGCATGTACGAGTCGCGAACACGTTGTGCTGCAATCCAATTATGTAAAATTGATTTTTCCGCCCTTGTATACTGTTTCTATATCTGCACGTCCTCAATTTTGCATATCGAGAAACACTGCGCTATTTTTTAAAATTATTGAAAGAGACGTTGATGTCACGAAGGGCAATATGTCATGACGATGATAATGAAGAAGAAACGGTGGATCGATTCTTTCCAGTTAACTAACTAGGATTGTAAAGACCGGATGTGCTGACATAAAGATACGCCAATTTAACGATCGACATTGTAATGCCGAAGAAACATTCTGCTGCTTAAAAATTGCAGTGAATATATTACGTCGTAGTTACGAGACCGATGATTTAAACGCGCAAAAAAGACTAAGTTTATTAATAAAGTCCTTCATAGTTTGATTGTTCCTGTTACAAAAGAAGAAAATTGTCGAACGTATGGAACGGACGGTGGCGCGTTAACGTTTCCCTTGCGTTTGCAGGCATATCGGATTGCGACGTTATAAGCAGAAAGCCAGAGACGGCGGGGCATGCAACTTGCGCTTAATTGCGCCGTGCTTTAATATTATATTCTACATTACTTCTAAGCGTCCTGCAATTTCCTATTCGTGACCGAAGTCCACGACTTCTTCCGGAATTATGGGCGATCGACGGCGAATGAGTGACGTTTGTTTTGCTTCCGGGACACGTCTTGGGGATGCGCGATTGACGTCGCAAAGACAGCTGTCGCTGTTTCGACAGCCTGCCTGATACACCGCGTAACGTCCGCGATTACTTCCGAAGTGATGCATATTTTACAAACGAGTGTCACATAAATAAGAAAAACCGTTCAAAACACGTCAAGCGCATACGATATCTTACACGTCGCATACATTGCTCGTCACTGCTTGTATTTATATGTCTGTAAACGTACTTGGAATACTCTACTAAAAGGTATAAAATATCCTCCCTCGATTATTTCCGATTGCCGAGAGAAAAAATAGCGGTGTTTGCGCAGTTTTAAAGTTGAAATATCGCGCGCGACCTGACCGGTATTTTTAAAGTCGGTAATACAATCTCTCGGCGAGGGAAAAATCATGAAGTTTATCATTAAATCTCTCACGACATAAACCCCGCATAAAAAAGTAGCACACACGAAACGCTATTGCATAATACAGGGGGGAAAAGAAATCGTGCGTATTCTATACTTCCTAAAATACGTGCCGTCGAAATTCCAAGTCAGCGGAGACACGCTTGAAGATGATTGATCCAATTTCGACAAGTTTTAACAAAAAATGAATAATCAAAAATAATTAGCATTATGCTTGATTGATATTAATTAGATTGTAAATATTATATACAATTTGTTTCTCTAAAAAATTTTTAAAAATCGACAGAATTTTATTTCGCGAAATTACGAAATTATTTGAATCTTATTCGTGATTTTTGATTCATGGCTTTATAATTGATCACTTTTTTTCTTTTCATCTTTTCTATCTTTTCTATTTTTATCTTTATTTATGTATATAGTTCTGGTATTAAAATCAATAAGCACAAAAATTAATGTAAAAGGTATAAAGACTTTCAGTTTCGAAGATTTATACTTAATTTCATAAAAAAAATTAATTTCTTTCAGAAAGCAGCTTTCGCAGAACGAGAACAGCAATGCGAGAACAGAATATTTCTGTCGCATAATAAATACAGCTAATCGCAAAATTAATTTAAACCAAACAAATTATGAAAATTTCATAAAATTTGTTAACATAATAAGAAGAAAGCAGAATAGAAAACAGGCAGAATACATTTTTGTAACTTGCATATTAACATCCATACATGTTTGAAATAAATTTTGTATAGTTCAAAACGCTTAATCAAAATTAGACATCCGTGAAAAGTATTGCTATTTGTAAAAATTATTTCTATCTGAGAAATTTTATTTAAAAGTCAAATACTTAGATAAAAACACTAGATAAAAATTTGATCGTTTATAAGTTGCAAATATAATAATTAAAAATAAAAAATATCTAAAAGTACAAAAAGTAAAAAAAAATAGTATTGGAAAATATTTTTTCTTTTTTACGATGAAAAATATCTAAAAATGCGGTCACAATACTATTCGTTGATGCGGACAAATTTTCGCGACTTATTGTTATTCATAAAAATTAATCAGATGAGCGCTTACCTTCCGGAGCAGGCGAGGAACTCGCGGGGACACGGCGAGTATGTTCGACCGCGGCCGGCATGTGACTGTCGCCGCCGCGTTCTCCACCGCAGAAGGTGCTTCGCAGTTAATATCGACCACCCCCGTTCGTCCTCCCACCACGAGAATCGTCTTATACTTTACAACGACGATAGCCCGTTGCAAGTCCCTTGACAAAGTATCACGGAGAATATAAATCATCATTTTAGTGTCTTCGGACGAGAAAAAAAGAAGACCAAGTTGCAGTAGACGGAAAGTTTGCACACTTTCGTAAAGAATTGTTTATTAGACGATTAATTCTTAGCGGTATTAATCGCGATAAAAAATATTAAAATGTAAAATATAAAAATATACAAAGTATAAAAATATGTTTAAATTCCATATTTGAAAGTTATACTGGAACATACATCGCGTATAGAAAAACAAGAGATACATTTATCTATAAAATAAAGCGCATCTTATATATAAATTACTTGCAAGGCCGACTTGACGAGCCACTTACTTGTCTAATATTTACACTACGTCAATCTTGCTTTACGAGCTCTGATCAGCTGCTTTATTATTCAGTTTAAGTCAAGTTTCCTCTCTTCTAGAAAAGAGCGTTTTTTCCTAACTCTATTTTAAATTGATCTGGAAGACGCATTCTGGCGCATTCATTAAGAAGAAATTAATAAAGAAATATTTAGCATAAAAATATTTTACCTGACCGCAGAAAGCATGAAAGTTTGTCAAATGTGTTTACAGTAATGGATGCTATGAATATATGCCAACGCGAATGTGCGGTGTAGCACGCGATATTCATGAAATTGAACAATTTCGAAATACATCACGACAGAGGTATCACTCAGCGTTACACACACGTGCGAACGTGATTAGAAGAGAAATTTCAAATAAATGAATATGTAAAAACAGAGCGGAGTGTGACGGTTTTGATCGATTTCGCCTAGAATGCACGCTTCTTATCGTGGCTCATTTGCTATTAGCGGTATACGCCCGTATACATCGCTGCGATTCAATCCGCCGATTTCTTGGAAGAGAAATCGTCTTACATGACGACAAAATGCCTTTACGATCGATTCAGCATGTGCTTTTGGAGTTCCTAATTGTTTAAATTGTGTTACGATAAGTACAGAAGTATGATTATAGATCTTAGTTTTTTTAACTTCAGCTGAAAGAAAAAATTGTGAAAACTAGTATTGCAACGGGATAATATTGGAAAATTAAGTCTGAAGGAAATGAAAAAATGTTACATCTAAGGAATGTAACATTTATTAACCATTAAAATTAATTTGCATTTACGTTTAATTAATTTTAATTAATTGAACGTAAATGTACATATATCGTTGAGAATAATTTACATTTTTTTTGTTTTTGGTCAGAAAAGTGAAAATGTACATTATAATATAAATATAAATCTCAAAGGCAGATGATTTTTTTACGCAGTCGGAAGCTTAGCCAATGTATCTGCGTATTGAAACTCTGAGCTGTTTTCGTAATCGCACATGTCTAAAGCAATGATGCAGCTCTCGCGGACGACTCTCTTGCTGTCGTTGAGGTACTTGTTTAATATCTCGTAGCACTCGGGAGTGGCGATTGAGCCCAAGGCTTCCGCGCACTCGTGCCTGACCATTTCATTCTCCGACGTGTCTTCCAACGATGCTTGTAATCCCGGCACGGACACCTCCTCTTGAAGTTGACCCAACACGAACGCCACTTCGTGCCTGAACAAGGCGCTGCCGGCTTTCAAACCTTCGCACAAAACCAAATGTTTGTCAGTCAATCAATATTCGATATATTAATATTCTGTTTTATGCTAAAGTAATATAAACTACCTTCAGTAAGAGCAAGAATGCTTTCCTTAGTGCGTAAATTCCTCAGCGTGAACATTGCCCTGTATCTATCAAATAGCGACTTGCTTTCATCCAATAAAATTTCCTTTAGAGCACTGACATCTGTTATTTTCACTGGAGGTGCAGGATCAACACTCGAATATGGATTCTTTGGCAAACTCTCTGTGTTATTGGTGGACTTCAGCCATCTCAGCCGATCTAAGGCTAATTCACAGGTTTCTGCTACTTCAGGTACAGAATCTTCACGGTACTTCTCTAATAATGGAATCACACTTGGTTCACCGATAGCACCCAATGCTTCTCCTAGTCAAAAAATGAATTTTTAAATCTCTTTGTTATAGAACAGATAGATCAAGTAAGACTTGCATGCGTTAAACACATACCTGCTTCATGACGTACCATTGGCTCCTGTGAAAGATCCTCCAAAACATTTGTTAAGATACTAACAGCTGCTGGATCCTGCATCTGACCCAGGCAGTACGCGAGCTCATGTTTTAATAGTGCTGACTGATCTTTGAAGCAGATACGGATCTGATCTATCGCCGTTGGACCAGCAATGTTCCTCAGAGTGAACAGAGCACGAAATCTCTCCTTTAATGGTCTGGCAGGATCGTTCAAGACTCCGCCTATGGTTAAAATATCGCTCTCACTTGCTCGCACCATTTTAGACAGATGTGTATTAAATAAAACTATAAACACTAACGAGAATTCAAATGTCAAGGCTTTTAAATCTGCAAAAATATATAAAAGTACTGATATTAAAATTGCAAAAATAATATTGAAGATCTTATTAAATTTGTAATTATAAAATAAATATTTTAAATATTTTAAAAATTATAACCTTATAACTTGTATGAAATTCCGTAACAATCGCCAGTTGAAATTCCCAGCCAAATATTTATCACTTTTAATGACATAAATAAATAAATAAAATATTGTAATAAAAATTTATGATCCTCCTGATATTTAACATATATTAGTCATTTCAACTCAAATAGAATTACTCATCCCGGCTCATGCGGAAGATTAGGAGGAACGCTTAGGTTAGGAGTTGACAAACGAGGGTTATTGGTCAATAAGAGTGACGGCCCGAGTTCGGACTGGATTTTGATGACCTCCTGTGGGGAAATTAAGAAACTCCGGACAAAGACATACTTCCTTGGTAAAACAGTTGAGACAACCTTTAAAAAGACCTTAGAGGAAATTTTTTCAACTATAATGGTGATTTTGAACAATAAAGTATGCTTCAACTCGTTTTTTAAAATCTTTATTAGAAACGGAAATATTTGGAGTGCTCATGATAAATTGATACTTTGTATTCTGTATACAGAGAAATTTTTTAGACACTCAAAATTGAATAATTTTAAAACCATTAAAACTCGGCTAAAAATTATCGCAGACAAAAAGTTACAAAAATATTTTAAAGCTCAAAGTGTATACTTTTACCTGCTTTCGGCCATTTGTAAAAATTTTTTATCTTTACAGTTCTGTAAGCCTGAAAAAAGAACACATTGTTTTGTTTTTAAAATTATGTATCTTCTACATTCTGTTCGATAAAAAACTTAAATAATACATATTTACTAATAAATAATATTTTGCAACAGATAAATTTCAATTAAACTATTTTACGTTACAAAACTAAAAAACTGATTTGTTAAATATACAATAGAAACGATATTATATCTGTAAGTTTAAAGTCCTCATCATGGCTCATCATGTGAACTTATAATACTTATAAAAACTGCGCTTCATCGCACTGTAGCTAGAGTTATACTAGACGGCTTGGATGGATTTGGTTTAGAGTTAACTGACTGGCTGATACTTACAATTAGTGGCGCTAAGAATGTCGTATTAACTTCGGGAACTGGAATAAAGAATGACTATCAGCGAATGAGAATTGAGTTATGGAAATCGTACGATGTAAACATGTAGATAGTTAAAGACGCACATTCTTGCTAATCCCGAAGAATGTGAACATTTCCTATAAACGGCGGAGAAACAAGTACCAGTAGATGCAATATTTAATCTTGCTGTGATTTTGAAAGATTGTATTCTGAGAAACCAAACCATGGAAACTCACGGAATCTTTCATGTCGAATGCCTGGACAATACAGACATTAAATAAAGCAACTAGAAAGATCTGTTTAAAACTTCGACATTTTGTAATGTTTTCTTCCGTTTCTTGCGGAAGAGGGAACGCTGGGCAAACTAATTATGGAATGGCCAATTCCATCATGGAAAGAGTGTGCGAAAAAAGAGCGGAGGGAGGACTGCTCGGACTACTTGGCAATTCAATCGGGAGCTGTAGGTCACGTAGTCTCGTCGCTGACATGCAGGAAAACAGTAAAGAGTTTATTATCGGCGGTACCCTGCAGCAAAAAATATCTTCCTGCATTGTAGAACTTGAGAAATTTTTCCTCCAAAACCGACCAATTATAGTCTAAGCAGCATGAGCTGATTAGACTATAAAAAAGTGAATAAATAATTGAAGTGACAAGAAGGATAGAGGATACTGTCCTGGATGCACATTTTAATTAATATTCACGTTTGCGTATGGCATAAGTCTAAATATATTTTAATTACAAATGATTAATTACAAATGTTTTAATTACAAATGTATTATTTATTTGTAAATTGTTTGATTTTTTCATTGGAGCAATAGAAAACTCACTATCTTCAAATTTATATGGTATGTATGAAATTATGTTCCTTTAAGTTTATTAATACATGTGCTGTATATATTATTTTTGCTATGTTTTTGTTATTGTAAAAAACTAAAACAAGCTTGATTTTTTCCAACATAATATTGCATATTATGCACAATTTATATCAGAATTCATTTATAAAATGCGTCGTTTTGCAAGAAATTTGCAAGAAATTTGCAAAAATTATATCATTTTTTACATAAATTAATAAACATTACTCATTTGCATCCGAAGCGACGCATATTCTTCATTTCATTTTTAATTCCGTATATCTGATTACATGTGTATTAGGGTGAAATCAGATGATACGGAAAAGAACTGCGGAACGGAGAGTGCGTCA